CGAGATCAAATTTGTTGGCACTCCATGGAAAAAGATTTAGACAGATCAACCGATATATACCATTTGAGGTAAAACCAAACACTTCTTTTTAAAACAAAGAAATATCATACCTAGAGTGTTTTAACCCTTTAACTCCAAAGATATGATTGTCAATTCTCCCCTCGAGCTGCTACACATTTCCTTGTAAATTAGTGACAAGAATTTGCTGTTTGATCAAAATAGCAATTTCTGCCTGATAAGTTTGAGTATTCTCATTACATTTTCGCGGGATAATGTATGGATATTATAGGGAGAAGTTACATGTTGAGAATGTCTGGGAGTTGAAGGGTTAAACTCACGACATATCAGAGTATCAACATCAAGGTTCTTCTAAATAAAACACGAGTCTCCTCACACTTGACTTGAAAGATGTGTCTTTGGGAAAAAGGCCACAAAAATTTCATGCTTTCAAAATCTGTACCTCCGACATCAGCACCAGGAACAATTAATCCAAGAGTGTCTCAATGGTTCCTTCAGGCACGCATCATCCCCGCGCACTTTCGGTTCCAATCTCCACACTTTCTCTGACTCTCGCAGGGGTAAAAGGAAGGGGGGGGATATTTTTATTTCTCCACAAGAAGACGTTCGCCATATCTTTACCCTATCTCGCATCTCAGTCTTTCTGAAGTGACCGAGTTCTCTTTAAGCTTATTTTCAGCTATAATCTTTGTTATTAATAGCTCAGCTGTCTCTCTCTCTCACATTGATCCCTGTAATTCCGCCTTCACACTGTTTATCTCTTTCTCCAACGTCTCTTTCTCGGTTTCCAGCGCTGCTGTTCTTTTGAGATTCACCTGTAATCTGTTCTCCAAAGTTTGAAGAAGAGGTCCACACATAACCTCCATGAGCTGACACAAAGCCTTGGTAAAAACTGCCAAAATAATAAAAAAAACATTTAATCAAAACAGAAATAAGGTAAGAAGAGATACTGAGTAATGCAGAATTGGGGAAGCAAAGAGTGGGGGGGGGGGGGGGGGGGGGGGGGGGGGGGGGGGGGGGGGGGGGGGGGGGGGTGGGGTGGGAGTGAAGTGGGGGAGTAAGGATAGTAGAGGGTGAAGAGGAATGTGTGGGGAGATGGGTGAAATGCGAGTAGGGTGGAATGACCTGGAATAACACTGATGCCTTTTTAAATGACAGAATAAACTTATTCCCTCAGCTTATTAATTGACTTATTTTAATCAAATACATTTGAAGACAAAGTACTGCTGAAGTTTTCAAGATTAAATAAAAAGGAGTTGAAAATTTGCTATTTCAAGAATTCTTTCCTCTGCTAAGAACACACACTCAGGAACTTAAGGCAAGTACATTGCGTGGTCACAAAAGAGAAGAAGTACAATCTGTTAATCACTTGCAGCACAAAAGTTCCTGGAAAGATATTCACAGGGCTGACTCAACAAGGGCTATAGGAGTAAGCAATTTATCCATCCAAGAATCCCACCTCTACCAAATTTTCTGAAACATTGTTCACAAAATGACTAAAATCACATTATAGATTCAATAAATGCCTCTACCAACCTGTACTATTATGAACTGCTGTTAATAAATCCTTAGAGCTGTTAAGAAAAATGGTAAATTTAAGTTTCATACAAGTGGACAAAATACCCAGCTGTGATCACTTGAATAAAATGACTCAGAGCAGAAAAAATGTCTGAGCATTTTGAAAGAACCTTGGCTGCATTGTTCAAAACACAATTTTAATTGTGAAATTATGAAATAAATCCAGGATTAGTTTTTAAAAAAACTCTTCAGAGTTTCTTTTTTCTTTTGAGAAGCCAGGCATGAAAATAACACCAGCCAACAATGGGTAAAATTTGTACCACAACAAGACAAGTATTTTACTGCTTTTTATAATTAAACCAGCCAGCACTTTTAAGCGTCAAATCAAGTAGTTGGTTAAAATGCTGGCCACCACTACCTCTGGAGCACACTATTGCTTCGCCATACCAACTAAATCTGGATTAAGGCAGAGCAAGTTTTGATAAACTTGACTCATGACTTGTTCACCCTTTCCACACAAAAATACTTCATAGCATATCTTATCCCAATAATCTACTCTCACTTGGCATTTTGCAACCAAGACAGAACTTCTCCTTAATCTTTCAATTCAATGTCAAGCAGACAAGAAATGATATTATAGAAATGTATCAATTAGGAGACTAGTTTATCCAGTTCCAAATTCTCCACACTAACACCTTAAGAATTGTATAGCAAACAGTAGGGAGAATTATTAATAAGATCTTGGGAGTGAAAAGAGTTAAGTGAACATGGACTAATAACCCCTTGAACCTTTTTACTCCCATGAGTGACCAAGACAGAATTTCTCCTTACAATATCAATACAATATCAACCAGATAAAATATCGATTTGGGGATAATTAGTTGATCCAATACTAAATTCTCTGAACTAACATCATAGGAATTGTATGGTTGACAATAAAGAGAATTACAAATTTGATCTGGGAGTGAAAGGGTTAACATCGATACAAACCCTTTGTCTAGTGTCATTGGTTTCTGTTAGTGTCTCTGTGGATAAACATCAGCACTAGGGAAGATACTAAGCAGTACACAAAACTAGAAACCTTAAAATGACAATATTTTTTTAGCATTTCTGTTGATAGAAAACTTACTTCAAAGTTTTACTATATGCCTCTTCTTCTTCCTTTAATGAATAAAAAAAAAACAAGGCATCAACAATGTCTTTCTGCATTTATTAAGTGGTCAAGTATTGGAGTAAAGTACTGTCATTGGTTCAAGGGCAACCTGGTGCAAATCAACAACCATTATTTTCTTTTAAAATCATTTTTTTCATATTTGAACTGATGGTTTATATTTTAAGCAATAGGTGTTAGATTTAATCAACATTTAAATAAAGACACACGCTAAAATTTATCAATTAACTACTCTGGATAAGTTTCCTACTGGACTTCACCAGTGATCAATTGCATAGTAAACCTAGTTGACTGTAACAGGTAATTTAGTGTTAACAACTGAGTTGAAAACATAAATTGGCCACCATAACAAGGTTAAAGGCTGACATTTCGAGCATTAGCCCTTTGTCAAAAAGGGCTATCAAAGGGCAACGAAAGGGCAATTGAGTGACCAAGACAGAATTTTTTTCCTTACAATATCAACACAATTTCAACCAGATAAGTGATGAGAATAAAGAAAAATATCAATTTGGGGATAATTACTTGATCCAATACTTAATTCTCCAAACTAGCATTACAAGAATTGTATGGTTGACAGTAAGGAGAATGAAACATTTGATCTGAGAGTTAAAGGGTTAAACTCTTTACAGTGGCCAATTTATGTTTTCAACTCAGTTGTTGACACTAAATTGCCTGTTATACTCTCCCACCAATGCAGCACCACAGTTTCTTTAGAAACTTATCCTCTTTTCATCTAGTTGACTGTAGTTTTGGTAGGCAACTTACAACTGATTCTAGAGTCCAAATAAATCCTTTGATAGAGAAATGAAAAGTTTATTTATGCATGTATATCTATGCAAAGGTGGTCTTCACAGACTTCGTTTTTTTTCCTGAATTTAGTTTTTGAAATGAATCACCCTACTTTAAGGAATCATTCTATCACCTCACCTTTGATAGTATTTGTGGCAGTTCTGACAAGCTGTTTAAAGTAGCCTTTGACAAAACCTCTGTATGAACTATTTGAAGCTCAATGTCAGCTCGCTGATATCTGATGCAATAAGAAAAAACAGAGCACTTGGTTATAAAAATAATACATATATATCACGTGGCCTAAGGCACCCTTTAGAAAAAACTGAGATCAAACCATCTAAATCAAGTCCACATATCAAATTGAATTAGATACATGTGGCTGTGGAGCTTACACCTAATCCATGACAAGAACTGACCAAAGATACCCCTACAGGGCTGTCACCAAGTTTGAAAGTATGTGGCAAATAAAAGACAGTATGGATACTATGTTATTTCATCAGATTACATGTCTGTGAACTATTCAGTTAAACTTATAGTAAGCATGAACATCCATGCAAATTCTGAACATGGAATCCAATTATATATTTAAACCAGACACTGGTAGATGATGCTTTCAATTTGTGTCTTGAGCAAAACAGATCTGAATGCTGCTGCTTGGAGTTTGTATCAGCTATTTCAGCTGGTTTTTCTTGGTGACTATAGGAGTATGGAAAGTGAACTTACTGTGGAGGACTCCCCTCAGGCTTGATGTTCACTGACTGAAAACAATACACTTTTAAATGGCCACCCTGAAAGAATCATGAGGGTAAAAAAAGTTACTAAACAGGGCTCCAAGCTTAACTTTTTCAAAGTTATCTTTGGAGAACCTTTAATAATAGAGTGATGACAAGATATTAATGTCTGGTTAAGGAAAAAGAAACTGTAACCTTTTAACCCCTAAGATTGACCAGCTTCTAATTTCTCCTTACAATATCAGCCCTGAATCAAACATTAAGATCATGAGAATCAAGGAAATGATCACCAATTAATAAAGCTCTTGATTTTAAACAAATTCTCCTTGTTAGCACTCCAGGAAATGTATAGAGAACAGTACAGAGAAAATACATACTGATGTCAGGGTGTAAAGGGTCAAGCAACATTACACCACCCAGTAATCTACTGACCAGACTGCCTTTGTTTGGAGTGAGTACTGGATAGCTGGTATTCATCTTGAGAGAATCACATGCTATATCAAGGCTTGATACCAAGGACACCAAGGAGAAAGGGGCAAATTTTCATTTTTACCAATGACAGAACTTAAGTGATATCTAAGAAAATGTGTATTTACTTTGACTTCAGACCAAAAAGAGATTGCCACATTCCTGTAATTATTATTTTATGGCAGTCAAGTTCAAGAAAAGTTAACCCTTTAACTCCCATGAGTGACCGAAATAGAATTTCTCCTCACAATAATAAAAATACAATATCAAGCAGACAAGTGTTGACAAAGAATAGTATCAATTAG